TCATCAGTCTATGAGCATTTGTCCCGACAATTAAATTTTCCCTTAACGCACTGCAGAAAACTTAATAATGAAGAAAAATGATAAACGTGAACGGATCAACACATAGATAATCAAATTTTTGACACAAGTCAGAGAATTTCAATGGTTTGCAAAATAAATTTGAAAAACCTGCAGTTTTTAATAATTATCTAGAATTAACAAGAGATGAATAAGAAAGATAAAGACATTCATTACACAGTTATGTTAGGCTCGAGTGGCTTTCTTTAAAAATTCTGCTATTCAAATGTACCGAACTTGAAACCATAAAATCACCAGTTATTTTGCCCAATCAATAAAATTAAACAGAATAAAGTAATAATTCATATTTACTAATTTTTCGAGTAATTTTTTAGAAAAACTTTATAAAATTCCAAAAGTGAAAAAGTGTTTCCAAAATTTTCAACCACTTTTAGTCATAAAACAACCAGATTCAATTTTTTTTTACCTAAGACATCCTGATGATAAGCCTCATTTTAACCACTAATATCAACAAAAAAATAAAACAAAGCTTTTTTTCGAAATAAAATGTAAATTTTTTTATTACAAAGTAAAAAGGAAAATAGCGGTTCTACAGAAACAAAAAACGAACACTACCAGCTTCTGACTGATTAACTTTTCTATTGTTGACTGGTGAACTTCCGTCGCACTTATAAGCAGACGATAAATCAAACAGAAAAAGAAATGCATAAGAAACCCAAGTGAAACATTTCGAAGGAATTTTGCTCATCCAAATAACAAAGTTCAAACTTATTTTGAATCTGTAATTTACGGCAACAATATAATAGCGAACCAGCTTGAGGACCAGTACAGTAGCTAACAGACTGAATTGTCTGAAGAAGTAAAGGAAGAAAAATATCAAAGAACAATAAATTTTCAATCACTGTCAATAATTTGTACAAAAAAGCATCACAATAGGAAAAAGTAGAACTTAACTTAAAAACAAAAAAACTGATAAATTAAAAGACATTTATAAAAAAAATAACCATCATTTTCAAGCTGGCAATCAGCAGAGAAAATCTTTTCATCAAGAAAGTTAATGAAATAAAAAACTAACCAATTACAACGACAGAATACAAAAGAAGGAAAAGATGAAAGCGTTGATAATTACAACTTTTCCAAAAAAAAAATGTTACTCAAAATATTTAACTCAGAGTTTTTTTTTAAAGTATGCCACTAATTCAGTGGTCTTTGACTAAATGAAAAAAACACATAAAAAATTGCTTTCACCACTTTTTTCTTCACCAAAAAAACCTGTTTAACAAGTTTTTCAAAATAGAACTCTTTCCACCCTAAAAAATTGTAAACAATAAAAAGCCACACATTAATGTTGCAATCAAAAGTCTTTTTATTTAGACATACTTGAAGTATTCTTTATGCCACATTAAAGACAACCTAATATGCAATGAAATTACGACAACGAATGTTAAGATGTGCTGCCTTGAAATTCAAAAGATGTAAAAGTGGACATGTAACAATTGATTTTCCACTTACTTACAGAAAAAAAAGCATTTTCTTATATATGAGTTCTGTCGGTATCACTATCGTTACCGATTATGTAGGCAGCTTCCATTACATAATGCTAACAAGATCCTTTAACAAAATGACATGACGAGATGTCAGGCAAAAATAAAAAGAATTACCAACACAGTCTAGTACCAAACAACAGCTGCAAAAAATCTTCCACAATTTTACCTTTGCTTTTTAATACACCGATGTATAAAGATATTTCTAATGATAGCAAATCCAACAAAAAAAAAAAAAAAAAGAGAGGAAAAGGCCTGAAATATTGTAGAAAATATTGATCCACTGTTGCTAAGCACAAAATATACCAAAATCGCAACCTTTCGTGCTAAAGCTAACCGCAACTACCAACTGCTCAGAACCAAAAGATTCACATAGAAAAAGCATGGTTGCAGCCTAGTGCTTCCATTAAAAAAGAGAGAAAACCATTGGTATATAACAGCAACTCATGTATCAAAATTACTATAAATCTTTTACTTCGAAATCCACAAACATTTTTAACATTATTTTGAGGCTTTTTGAAAAAAAAACAAAAAAAAATTAACCTGAGAACCCCTAAAAATCTTTTAAAAACCAATATCTTTCTTAAAAATTTAATGGGCACTGGCTTTCTTTGAACCTCTCGTCTGACATTCCAACAGTTTTTCATCCAATTTCTTCCTCCGATATAAGCAGTAATAAATTATGAAAAAACAAGTAACAGCAGAAGATAAAAACAAATTAAATGAACGCTCTGGTGCCCCTAGTCACCAGACTGAAAAAACAGCAACAACAGCAACAACAAAGACTAAATTCGTGTTCACTCCACACACAGAAAGTTTGACTGAGGTCATTGAACCTTGAAAAACATTTTAACGAGAACCTCGACAGCAACACGGCATATAAAGTTATTGATCAACTTGAGAAGCAAACAAGGAAAGAAGATGGTAAATAGTTTTTGACAAATAGCATGTAGAAATGTATAAAAGACACTATAAAGCACTAAAAAATTAAAATGTTACATTAAGCGGTACCTCAGGTTTATTCGTTCCACAGTTGGCAACATTCTGTTTGGATAGAAATATAACCCTGTTTAAATTTTCTTTTTGAGGACGTCTTCTTCAAATAAAAATAAAACAAATAAACTCCTTTCAATTTTCTTTCTGCAGATAGACGGTAGGAACAACAAGTGAATAAATTTGAAAAGAAAAAAGTAAAGAAAGTAATGTTCTCCTGCTTTCGACATTAAAAAAAATCACAATATATTTATATCTGACTGAACATAACGATTTTTCAAAAAATTGAAACGTTCAAATCGGTAAGCACTCAAAAATAACGCCTACCTGGCCAGCTGTATCAATAACTGTTTTTTCACACTGGCTGCTCTTAACTGTCACAAGTCGAGAACGATGTGACAGAAATAATAAAAGAGTAAAGGACCTCGACTTAGTAGGCATATTGGCCGTAAACTGGCAAAGCTAGTAAAGCTTTCAAACATTACAGCACCGATTTAACAAGTCAGCTCAACAAAAGTTTCAATAAAGCTGGCGATCCAGAACCCTGTGTATTTGTATCGGTTTACGACAGCCGACAGTTTGTAAGAACAAAAAAAAATTTCCGGCTTCATTGGGATGATGCCTGCAATTTAACAACATCAAAGTAACGGTAATTCTATCTAAAAATTTTAGGTGTAAAAAACTTTTTAAGTTCAGAAATTTTTAGGTTTAAAAATCAACAAACAATCAACAGCATTCTTGTTTTAATCTTCACTTTTTTTTGGCAAACATGAGGTAGCTTTAATTTTTTATAGTAAAAAATGCAAAAAATAAAAAAAAGTTGAGCAATAGAAAAAAAATGAAAAGAAACATACTTATATAATGTATATTATACTGGTGATCGCCTGTCGTAAGTATACCACACATCGCCTGAATGATGACGCGGTTCAGAAACCATAAACCAGAAAGAAAAACAGAAATTGAATATCTGACTCATTTATGAAAACAAAATATATGTTCTTTTTATTGTTAGGTGTGTATTTACGGTGGGAAAGCATAAGAAAAGCAATAGCTGTGGCACTGTCATCGCATTGCTGTTGCTGTTGTTGTTGCTGTTCCTCCTGCTGCTGTTGGTGCTGTCGGTGCCGCAGCTTCTGCTTCCTCTCCTTCTGCTGCCGCCGTTACGCAGCCAAAGTACACTGACGAGGAAAGACCATGTCAAATAAGCTTTTTTTTTCATTTATCTATTTATTTATTTTTTGGACCATCAGTAACTTGCTGTTTTTCTTAGTCCAACGTTTATGGTGAACAACAGATAAAAGGCGTGAATTTGAAGCTCTGGCGAAACTGCTTCGTCATCAACAACAGCAAAAGCAGTATGCAACTCAAGGGGAGAGGAGTCTGAGCATGTATTTAAAACGATGCTTTTAAACGGCCACTGTTATGTATTTAAGCAGTATTTCAGTGAACATTATATTTGCACAATAATAATCAATTGAAAATAGTCATACAGCAGCGTCTGCTTTTAAACTGATATAGCAGGTTAACTTTTCCAGCGACATTTAGTAATAGTGGATTGATTCAATAAATTTTTTTTTTTTGGTTTTCCTAACTGCCACTCCTCACCTTTTCCACTTCCCACTTTCTGTTGTTTAACAACATTCTAGTATTACAGCGGTTTGACTAAACTAGCTTATAATATCAATGAACATATCGAGCTCAGAAGTAGCAACATAAAAGGAAAAGGCATTAACGCCACGTGCGTTGTGATGCATCGTCAGGCAACAGGAGTGGCAAAAACAGAATCATTATGAGCATCGCAAAAGCGAGTATTAGAAGCAGTGGAGTGGCGAGGGTTGAATACCATCTTAGGTGTGGTGGTAGCAATCACCATCAGTGTGAGCAACAGGAGCAGCAGCAACAAAAATGCGGAATACGTCATCAATACACTAACAGCAAAGCAAACGGCCCACCGGCCATCAAAAAGCATTTGCGATCAATGAAGGATTGGCGCGTTCAGCTAAACTGCAAAAGAAAAAAAAGAGGCTTTGTTGATTCCCACTAAAGGAATACAGTGACTGTCGGTGGATGAAAATTGCTTCTTCATTTATTACTGTCAGCTAATTACTATTATATATTGGACGTTTACGTTGCCGA